TAGGCTGTTGTATCCATTTTTGTGTTTTCTTGTTGTTTTTATGATATCTTTCATTAGCTGATGACCAACAACAGCCCTGTGCTCTAGCGCTGACACTCCATCCTCACACTGGTCACCACTGCTGCCCATACTTCTATTTTTTAAATTTTATTAATTTTTTTTTTTTTTTTGGTATTGGGGATTAAACTTGGGACCTTGTACTTGCAAGGCAGGCAGCAGAACCGCTGAGCTAAATCCCGGGCCCTGCTGCCCATACTTTTGATAGAATTTTTAGTTCCTGAATTTCTATTTAGAATTCTTTTTTTTTTTTAACTCAAATTCTTTTTTTATGATGGTCATTCATGTTTTGCATCATTGTGGTTAGCTCTATTAGCTTTTCCATAGTGTCTTCTGTAGACTCACTTATCACTTTGTTTATTTGGCCCATTATCTATTTACTTGTATCTTCTGTAATCTTTCCAAGTACCTTATTGATAGTTTTGTTATCTCTTCTGTTATGGTTTCAAATAATTTATCTGTGTGGATTTTGGTTTCCTCCCCTTCAATGCTCCATGGATCAGCTTTGGGGAAGTTGGGAGTTTTTGGAGGCATTTTGTTGCCTTGTCTTCTCATGTTTCTAGTTTGTTTGTTTTTTGTGTTGAAGCTTGCTGGTTAATTAGAGTGACAAGCTTTGTTCCTAGTATGGAGACCTCTTTAGTTAATGTCTATTTTTCAGTGGTGCCTCTGGGCTTGGCTAACCATTGGCCTTTGCCCCTTTCCCAAGATCCCATCACCTTGATTTACTTGGGAAGAAAGGTTGCAGCATATTTGGCCCGGTACCCAGTTCTCCAGGTATGGGCCACAGTATTGTTAATGACCCCCAGGCAATCAGATATTGGCCTCTTGAGCAAACCAGTTAATAGTATGAACTATGTCACCTTGGCTGTAGTAATAAAATCAGTAACAATAATAGATCATCAAAGACAAATAGGATTTGACAAACCCTAAGGACCAATATTGTACCTCCATTAATCATACCAAAGAGAACTATAATTATAATATGAACAACAAGACAAACCAAATATTAAGCTACTGTTGACCTACAGTAAATATCTACTGAACTTTACTTGCACTAATAACAGAGCAGTATTCAACAGTAATAGCATAAAGTTCACCAGCTATCTAGAGATTACTAGTAAATGTGGAGGGGATGGCGAAGAGGAGAATGAAAAAAGTAAAATTTGAAAAATTAATCAATGGGCTAGAGATTCAGGAGAAAAAATGAGATGGGGTCCTATTGAGGAGTAAAAGGAAATTAATAGTGTTAGAAAGTGGTCACAGGAGAGCACAAACAAGAAAAAGAAGAAAAAAGAAAAACAGAAAAATATAGGAAATGAAGGACAAGGATGCAGAGGAAAAGGTCAAAAGGGAATAGAGCAAAAAGAAACTATAGAGGGGAAAAAAAGACAAAATGGGGTTAAAAAACCCACTCCCCCAGAAAACTGATGAAGGAAAGAGAACGATAATTAAAATAGAAAAAAATTTAAAAGACTGAGTCTAAGAAAAAGTCCTCGGTGTTTCTGAGATACTGGTTTCTTTCCAGTCTTAGAATCCAGCCAGTCACAATTTTCAGGCCTATGGGTTTTGAGGTACTCCCCGTGCTGGGGTCCCCTCTGTCTATTCATCCCAGTCTGTGGTTCCTGCCCAAGCCAAAGTGTGTTCTTGCTCACAGTGGTAGATGGGAAAAGTCATCAGCTCTCTGATCTCTGCTGGACGTAGGCTGCAGGCAGGGGTTCTAGTAGACCGTTGGACTTAAAATTCAACACTTGCTGGATCTGGTTCTGGTTGTTTCCTTCTTCATCCAAGATCAGGTCGGTTGGTTAATCTGCTCTTCTGCTGCTCCAGTTTGGAGCTGGTGGATAGTCACACTGTGTGGAAGACAGCATAGCCAGCTTATTTGCCTCAGCAGGGGCCAGCTACCACTCTACTTTCCGTATCTGTGAATTTGACTACGCTAAAGACCTCACGTAAGTGGAATAATACACTATTTGTCTTTTTGTGGCTGGCCTCTTTCACCTAGCATAATGTCTTCAAGGTTTTCTTTGAAGAATTCTTTTGTTAACTTTTGTAGGTAACATATTACGTTCCAGAGCTGACCTATCATTTCATATGGATTGTTCCATTTAACAAATTGTGAGGAAAGAATTTGGCAGGAACTGTGACAGTTTAGTAGATGCTGAAACCAAGGGTTAAGAAGGTTAAATCACTTACTTAGGTATGCAGAACTAATAAATGCACCGTTTGACCTGGCCTCCCACCTGTCTACCTCCTGAGGACCACAATGACCACAGCAGACAGTGCCTCATCACCCTTAGCTCAGTTCCCAGTCATTGAAAAGAGGTCTGCTAATAGCGAGATTAAATGAGTTCCAACTCTCACATTGCCTCAAATTAAAAGTGTACGTGTATGAAAGCCATTTGTCTTATTGGTACCAAATCAAGAGCACACTTATAAGCTGAGTGCCGTGGCGCATGTCTATAATCTCAGCTACTCCAGAGGCTGAGACAGGAGGATAGCAAGTTCAAGACAGCCTGGACAAATTACCAAGACCTTGTCCCAAAATAAAATTTAAAAAGGGGTGAGAATATAGCTATGTAGGAAAGAGGATGTAGAAAAGGAGGAGGGGAAGAAGGAAGAGGGAGGAGGAAGGAAGGAAGGAAGGAAGGAAGGAAGGAAGGAAGGAAGGAAAGAAGGAAGGAAAAGAAAGAAAGGGAGAGAGATAGAACTGTTGGACTGTCCATGGTAAAGCTTTCGTGAACAAGGGAAAGGAAATATGGCTCCATGGTGGTAGAAGAAAAATAAGAGAAAACTCTGTGTTTGGTCCAAAGGAGGATTGTACACTTGTGATGTTATATGAGTCAGAATCTATATAGTGTTATGTGACTTGAACTGTATTGAGCACTTGGCATATTAGTTCATTTAATTTTTGCAAAATTCCCATGCAAAAATACTATTATTGTCCCCATTTTACAGATGAAGAAACTGAGATACAAAAAAATTCAGTACTGTGCCACGAGTTGGGTGGTAAGTGGTGGAGCCAAAATTGCAAACCAGTGTGCTGGCTCCTAAGTTCAAGCTCTTGACCATGAGCCTACACTGCCCCAAGATGCCTACCCACTATGTGATGCAGTATTTTTCACATACACATAGCTATGTGATGCACAGATGCCCTTCAATGTACAATGGTGTTACATCCATCTTAAATTAAAATGTCGTGTATTGAAGTCCACACATTCCATCTAACCTATGACACATCCTAGCTTAGCTACACAGCACACTGTGGAACATCAGTTGTGTCCTTTTGATCACAGAGCTGATTGGGAGCTGTGATCACTGCCTCCACACAGCATGGAAAGAGAGGATAGGACCTCATAGTACCAGCCCAGGAGAAGCCCAAATTCACATTTCCATGTAGGGTTTCTACTGAATGCATAATGCTTTCACACCATCTTAAAGTTGCAAAGTCCTTAAGTTGAGCTATGGTAAGCTGGGGAACATGTGTAAGTATTAATGCTTTTGAAAAGCAAATTTCATCAGCTTCTTTTTTTTTTTTTTTTTTGGCACCAGGGATGGAACTTGGGACCTTGCGCTTGCAGAGCAGGCAGCAAAACCACTGAGCTAAATCCCCGACCCCTACCAGCTTCTTTTTAAGGGATGAGCTTCAGTGGCCCAGGAGCAAGGATGAGACCACAGCTGGGGAATGGTCTGCAGAGTTAGGACAAAATCATTGCTGTGAATCAATTGCAGAATGACTGCTGTCACTTGCTTCTCATAGACCACAGGGGCTAATGTCACTGGTTTATTCGTCCTATGCTCTCACAGTTAATTTTGATTCATATGGAAGCGAATGTACACAACTTTCAGCAATATGCTTACATATTTAGTTCTAAAGGGAAATAGCAATATCTTTTATTTTTAAAATTCTGACACCTGTTTTTTATTCTTTTTTTTTTTTTATGGTGCTGGAGATTGAACCCAGGACCTCACAATGTTAGGCAAGCACTTTACCACTGATCTACATCCTCAGTCTTCCAGCTTTGTTTTGTGTATACATGGAAGACATTAGTGTCTGAAATCTAATCTAGGGGTCAACTGGTCAACTCATTCATCCCTAGTGAGCTCATTGCCTGCCTGCCACCAGCACAGTTCTAGCCTCCCAGGAAACAAAGCACTAAGACACAGTCTATAGGCACAAAGAATCACTGGGAACAAAGAGATTATATGCATGTAAATAAATAAATACAGTAATCAAGGTGATTTCAGATAAAAATAGATAGCTTCAAGAAGAAAATAACACATAACAGTGCTCAAGAGATAACTGACAATGGGGTAGAACATTCCTTAGATCCCATCCTGTTCTACCAGCTTTTTATTAAGTGTCTGTTGTGTTAAGTGCTTGCTTGGAACACAGAGGAGTGAAACATAGCACCCACTGCCCAGCAGCAGTAACAGATGGGAAATCAAGTTCCAAGTGGATTGACCTATAACCTGTCTGAGTTATCAGGGAAAAATTCCCCCTGGGGATAACAATGGCATTAAAATGTTGATGACACCAAATGTCTATCTAGAACAAGAGCCGGGAGTGAAATATGGACCCTACTGGCTTTGATTTTGAGAATGGCTTGGTTGGAAACTGTTTACCCTGCAGAAATCTCTGCTCCCTGGATTAGGATGCTAAGCCTGGGTTGGGGGTAGGTCAGTGGTAGAATGCTTGGCTAGCATGCATAAAGCCTTGGGTTTGATTCCCAGCACTGCCCCCTACTCCCAAAACGTTCAGCTCATGTTTACTCATCGTACAAGCATTGTGGATTTGCTTCTCCCAGAGGCATTTAAGACATGCTAAGCTGGTGTGGCATAAAAAGCAAGCTGGTACATTCAGGAAATATAATCCTGTGAACAAATCAGCCTCATTCACCAAGAGGGGAGCTGGATGACTTGCTGTCTCCAGTCGAGTACCAGCAATGGACATAGAAAAGGCCAATTCCGTGGACTTTGGCGAGTTTGTGGACGTCTTTGGTAATGATATCAAGAGATCTCCACTCATTGCAGCTGCTGTCTGGTCCCAACACCCATTCTCAGACTTGGAAAATTTAGAGAAGCACTTTTTTACCTTTATTGATGCTCTCTCCCTCAGGCAGGTAAAGCTTCCAGGTTAGATGTTCTCTGCAAAGGGATTTCAAACTCACTTACAAAATAGTGTTAGATGTCTTAGTCTAGTTGTTCACACTTGTTGTATTTATTTAACTTTTTGGGAGTAGGGGGAAGGTTCAGTAAGTGTCCTCAGGTTTAGTAGACAGGAGTGAAGCATTTGCCAGGTATTAGACCAAATTCAGGGGGAAAAAACGTACATGGGCTGAGATGAAGTGGCTATTAAATCTTAGAGTGTGGGGGTCACAAGGAAAGACAGGGTGAAAGGCTTCACAGTGATTTAGGGGCCAGGGGTCAGGCTGAGGACTCACTTCTCTTGAACACCCAGTGTTCACTCTGGCTGTGTCCTGTAAGAGTGGAGGCAGCTGGATATCAGAAAATCTTAGAAACCTAGGCTCCTGAAAGCTGGCTAGAAATTCTGCCAGAGAGGGCCAGCTTGGACTAGATTACCTAGAAAAGTGGATTCATTTGGACTAGCAACTCCCTGGGAGAATGAGGGGAAGGGAAGGAAAACTGAAGAAAACCTCTGGAAGATGGAAATACATTTTTGATTTCTCAAGGGAAGAGAGAGAATAGAGGCATTTCTGGCTGCGGGGTGTGGAGAAGAGGAGATGGACGTTCAGGAGGAGCCAAGGACTCAGAATAGCACAGAGATTCAGAGGCTGAGGGTTAGCAGCCCAGACAGCCTCAACAAGCCATCCCACCATCTGTGGAGGAGGCTGACATACTCTTTAGGGACAAGGACAACGACAACGACAAAGGGCAAGGGCCGGCTCCACACAGAGGTTGTCCGCATACACCTGGGGCAGAGAGGGAGGTTTACTGCCCTCTGTTCCGTGACAGAACCGACAGCGTGACCTATCCGCACCTGTCAGCCATCTGGATGGCTTCTAGCTGTCCGGTGGATCTCCAGACTGAAAGGTTCATTTTCACTCACCTGAGGCACATTGAGCAAGTGCCAAGGGTGGTACTATAAAATCAGACTGACAGAAACGTCAAGCCATGTTGGCGCTCACACGCTTCTGAGGGTCTCTTCAATTTTTGTTTAGCCGCAGGCTCTAATAAGAAAGTCGCGCGCGGGCAGGCTTGGAGTCCTCTGACCCATGAATCACAGGGACACCTGTCTCCAGCTTGCAAAGTGAGGTGACACCAGCTCCCCAGCCAGAATTCTTGGGGGTAACAGACAAGGAGCAAGAGGCCAGGGGTGCCTGAGCTCACGATGTCTTATAGGAAAGTGAAGGAGGCCAAGTGAGAGCCTCCTCGGGAAAACTGGCTTTAAAAAGTTTGCACAAAGGCTGGGGCTGTAGCTCAGTGGTAGAGCGCTTGCCTGGCATGCATGAGGCCCTGAGTGTGACCCCCACTCTCTCTCCAAAAAGGTCTGTGGGACTTTTTTTTTCTATCATGAAAAAAAAGGAGGAAAAATCCTGTGATTTTTCTTAATACTTAGAAGCAATGAGGCTAAGGAGGGAATAGACTGAGCCGGAATGTTAGGAACGGCGTGAGTGGGGCCAGGGACGTAGTTCAGTGGCACGGTGCCTGCCCTGCAAACATCCTGACTTCAGTCTCCAGTACCAAAAAAATAAAAATAAATAAAAAAGAATAGTATGGGTAACTTTAAATCTAATATTCATTGGTTTTTCCAGTTATTCAACATTTACTTGGGGTTTATTATTCAGGGCTTGGAACTTACATAAGTAAGTAAAAATTTCAGTTTCCATCTTCTTTCCCACCAACAGTCACCCCAACCCATTTGATTGAGTGAAGGGTTAAGGGTAAATCTAGTCCTCATCCTGAGCACTTGGGATGTGAGCAGGATTGGGCTTCGGGTCCTTCCTCAAAAGTCCTATTTTTTATTCCCCTGCTGACTGTATGGATCCTCTGCTTTCTGGACTACTTCAGAATCCTAGATGGCTTGGTGAAGAAACTGTTAGGACTTACTAGAAGTTTATGAGTGAATGAATTCAATTGTTCCTAGGGTAATGTTAAAAGGTGATGGACCTCGTATAACTCTTTCCCACCCAGTTTAGTGGGGGCTCAATGAGACAAAATGGCTGGAGGGAGGTTGGGCCGACTGGAAGGGTCTTTGCTTCAGCACTAGACAAGTTCTTTTTGAGGGGTGGGTATCTGCTGGTGGAGTGGCTTCTTGACTCTTTTCTGGTGTCCATGCTTGTCTTACAGGCTGCTGGAAGCAGAACCTCAGTGCTGTCTGGGTGGCCACTCTGTATCTAATCATCTTAATGACATTAGTTAGATAAGTGATGTTAGCAATAGCGATAATAACAACAGATAGCTACCATTTATTAAATGTTTACTGCTGGTGTGTTCCAGGCACCTTTCCAGGCACTTTGCATTTGGTAACTCATTTGATCCTCCTAATCTTTTAAAATAAGTATCATTATGTCTCCCTGCTTAGAGATGAGAAAACTGAGGCACAGAGAGATTAAGTAACTTGAGCTTGGACACAGAACTAGAAAGTAGATAGCTAGAATTCTAATAACTCTGATGGTCAATACAACGGCTTTTTTTTTCTTTGCTGTTCTGAGGACTGAACCCAGGGCCTCGCTCATACTATGCAAGTTCTCTACCACTGAACTATATCCCAGGTCCTTTTTATATTTGCATTTTGAGACAAAATACAGCTAAGTTACCTAAGCTGTCCTGGAACTTTTAATTCTCTTGCCTCAGTCTCCTGAGTAGTTGGAATTACAGATGCGCACTATCATACTTATCTAACACCTTTTAAATAAAATGGCAGAACTGGAAGTCAATTCAACGACTTTGAAGGATTTTTCAGGGAATCAAAGTCTAAAAACTATTTCTGAGAGTTTCATTTACTGCTTCATTCATCAGTTTATTCAATTAACAGTCAAAAAATGGCATGGTAACTATAGTTAATACTGATCAGTATTCTTGAAAATTGCTCAGAGCATCGAATTCGCTTTATTTTGTGGTGCTGAGAATTGAACCCAGGGTGGTACACAGTGTTCAGAAACTGTTCTGCAACTGAGCTACACTCCCAGGTTACAGTATATATCTTAAATGTTTTTTTACCATCAAAATGTTTCTGTGTGAGGTAATGCATATGTTAAATAGCTTAGTATAATCATTTCACAGTGTATACATATATCAAAACATCATGTTGTACAGTATAAATACCAGCAATTTTGGTCAGAAAGATCAAATAAAATGGGATTTATTGTATAGTCCATTTTAAACTTTGGATAGTAAGGAATAAAATCGTATAATAGAGTCTTATAAACTAAGCTAGAAGAGACCTTAGAGGAATGCACAGGATATGTTAATTTTACCTGGAAAGGATTTTTTAGAGGACCTAAGAAAACCTACCATCAAGAAAAAGCTTAGAACTGGTTTCTAGCACAAACCAAGGTTCAGTCCATTTAGCTTGTGATGACTATTGGCCAGTAGAGGGCAGGCCAGGATTAATATTCAGCTGCAGGACTACTTGGCAAAATACCCCCTAAAGGCAATTACTGTAGTTTCTATAAAGATAAAAGACTTGCAGGCAAGAAAAACAGCATTAGTAAAGGAAAGAAGGCTGAAACGCACACACACACACACACACACACACACACACACACGCACACAACTTGAAGCAATTCAGGACCGATTTGTGCTAAAATGAAATAACACACCGGGGTATGTCAGTGGTACAGCAAATGCTTAGCTTTTGAGGGGCCCTAGGTTCAATCTCCAGCACTCACCACCACCAAAAAAATCAAAGAACAACAAAATGTTTATTGTTCATGAAACAGTTCATCATGCATATTTTGGGGCATTTCCAATAATGCCATAGTTTAATATTTAATACTAACCAGTGAACATATTTGTTGAATTAATGAAGGAATTAGATTCAATACTTTGCTAATAAGGTTATCAATGATTTAGATAGAGCTATTAAAATGTGTTCCTTTATTTATTCCTTTAAAAAATAATACTCCTTCCCAAGAGTGAGCTGTTGATTGGTGAATACTTTCTGAGTGCCTCCTATGTATGCCCAGGCATTGTCCTGGGCACTGAGTACAGAACAAGTCTCTACCCTCCCTGAGCTGACAGTCTGGTAAAAAACAGACAGGATTAATGTAAATAAATATGACTATTTCGAGTTCTAGAAATTATAAGAAACTCCATGAGTTATAGGAAAATGTATATTGCAGAAAATATGTAATAAAAGAGGTGTTTTTTTTTTAAAGGTAGAATTTAAGTTTAAAACTGAAAGATCAGAAAGAAGCAGCCAAGATGCAGGATAGGTTACTCGGAGCACATGGTCTTGAGATTAGAAGGAACTTGATCAGAACACAGAAAGACCCAGGTGATTGGAGAATGGTGAAAAGAGAAGGGAGCACGAAAAGGAAGCAAGCAAGGGTCAGAGCATGTAGCGTTTTTCTGCTATAATAAAGACTTTGAGGCTGGAGGGTGTAGCTCAGTGGTATGATGTGTGCCTAGAATCCCGGAGGCCCAGGGTTCCACACCCAACACCACCACCCCTCAAAAAATGTTTGACTCTTCTCCATTTGCAGTGAGACATCACTAGACCTGCCCTTTAGAGTGGTTGTGTCGGGAGAATTGCTGGACTATGGTTGAAGCAGTAGAGATGGAGAAATTTAACTGAATTCATGGAATAGATATTACAGTTAGAGTCAATGTGATCTTTAGGGGATGGATTTGATGGGTAGCCAATCAGAAACAAAGAATATTAAAAATGACTCCTAAGTTTTTGTTCAAGTAACTGGGTGGGTGGTGGTGCCATTTTTTGATGTGAGGAAGAAAGAACCGAGGAGATGGGCTGTAGGAAGGGAGCCCAAAAACTAACCAAATGAAAATGCTGAGCCATCGGTTGCATCATAACAAAGGACCTCATCAGAAAAGTAAAAGCTAACCTAGATCTGGGTGTTATCAATGAATCAATGCTATTTAGAACTGTAGGCCTGGATGAAAACACTCAGTGCCTCTGTGCAAATGGAGGAGAGAGCAGACATGAGTATTGAGTCCTGGGGTGCTCCAGTGTGTTCGTCGGACAGACCAACAGGAAAGTAGGCAAGTGGTGTAGAAAGGGCAACCACAGGACTTTTCCACGCTTGCTAGAGGTAGAGAAAGAGAGGACGGGGCATCAGTTACTGGGCTCAGCAAAAGGTGTCTGTCTGTCATCCGTGATGTGATGAGTGCAGATTGTGCGGTATGATGTGATAGAAGCTTGGTTGAAACAGAGGGGCAGAGGGAGAGAGGGCAGTGGGCAACTCCTTTGAAGTGAGGAAGAGCAGATAAAGAGAAACTAGTGGAATGCAGAGAATAAGGGGCTGGGGTTTTAATTTTCTTTATGGGATGAGTGATTCAAAAGCTTGCTTGCAAGTGGATAAAGATGTCGGGAATGGAAAAATGGCTGTCTAAAATTGTAGAAGCAGAGTCTTTGAGAAGGAAAGAGGAAGCTGAGTGCAAGAACACAAATGGAGGGCCTGGTCTTTGACAGAAGGGACAGATCGTCCTTGTGCCAGGAGTGAAAACGCACTAGTGGGAAAAGGCAGGTGGGCTGCTCTGGGACTAGGTAATTTAGCTGATGATCAGTGGCCATCACTGGCCATCCTGTCCTTGTCCTGCGGGAGTAACAAGGGTTGGCTCTACCAGGAACATTCACAGATTGATGTACTGTGGTCCCAGCAAATACTATACATCCACACCCACATCACTAGACACAAAACCCAAAGGTCCATGTCTTAAGTCCAGAATTTCATGAAAGACTGAAGAACAAGCACTGTGGAGATGCCCTGAGCATCACAGTGGGGCGCTGGCCTGGGTGGCTGGCGCCTGGGCATTACAGGTGGGAGACCCTCAGGACTGGAGGCAGGGGGATGGCAAGTACCTGCCCACAGACTCCAGCCTCCCACTGGGGTTTCTGGCTGCACTGGGACTATCTGGGCAATCCATCTTTGGCAGGAGTGAGTGGGAAGGAGTTTGGAAGAGTGGGAGAAGGCCTGAGGGCAGATGGACAGCGTGCTCCTCTACAGTACCAAGGAATCCGTTGTTTGGCCATTGAACACGGGGTCTTTGGCTGGGTAAGGAAGGTTATTTTTCTTCTGTGTTGGCTACCATTCCCCGCACATTTTTCATGTTGTTTGTAGCTGAAGGTGTGTGTGCGTGTGTGTAGGTTTTAGTTCCTCTTCTTTAGTCTATTTTCTTCTGCCCTTTGCTCTGCCCTTTGCTTGGGCTCCTTTCTCTTCTCTCCACCCTCTGCTCCTCCCACAAAAGTGGAAAACACATGCCCAGTCCCAGGCAAACATTAACCCTGGGTGATGCCTTCAAGAGGAGGCATAAATCCTACGAGAGTGAGAAGGGAGGACCCAGAACTAGCAGAGCAGGAGGCAGGTCTGGAGTTCCGGGTGGCTCACAGTCACCTTGGACTGCACAGTGTGTCCCGCTGGGCGTGGGGACTGTAAGAGGACAGACACCTGTATCAGGGTATCCACCAGTAACTACTTCCCTGGAAGCCTGGGCTAGTCCTTGAGAGAGTCCTAAGTGGGGAGGTGGGGCCCCTGGCTGGGCAAAGGAACTGAGCAGCTACTTTGAAACGCTCCGTTTATGAAGGGTTGGCTGTCCTGCTGGTCTGGACGGACATGCCCAGGATATGCAGTTCCTTCTTCCCCACAGCCAGGGCCTCCTACTCCTCTCAGACCTGAGTGGTTGCTTGGACGTCTGCTGAGCCAGTGGGACTGCCCACCCTGAGCCCAGAGCTGGAGCTGCTCTGCCAGGTGAGAAATTTAGCATCCACATTTTTGTACCACCTGGACTCGACTGGATGCAAAGACCAAGAGAGAAGCACTCTCCTGTGTGCAGTCCACAATAGGCAGGGCAACCATGGCAGGGGTTCTAAAGCAGTGCTATTGGAGAGGTGGGATTACTGGTGGTGTACATTTTGTTCTGAACTCCCCCTAAACTTGGGAGAGCAACCAGGCCTCAGAAGCCACTGTGGTTTGCAGTCAAGGGTCCAGGTGCAATCAGCCATGTGACCTTGGACAGGTCACCAAACCTCTGCTGTGCCTTCACTGAGTACTCTCTTCTGGAGACGTCGCCCCGCCCCCGATTGCTCTACTTCCTAGAATCATGGTTCCTGGATTTGATGGTACAATCTAAACCATTCTTTAATTGGGCAGAAAATATAAAGTTTGAGGAAGAAATTAGATCATAATTAAAGAGAGTTTAAACTCAGATTTATTGAGATACAGTTTAATCAAGGGTTTGCTTTTCTTGTTGTTTTGTTTGTTCATTTGTTTTGTGTTTTTGAACCCAGAGGTGCTCTTTCACTGAGCTAAATCCCCAGCCCTTTCATTTTACTTTTTGAGACAGGGCCTTGATAAATTGCCCAGGCTGGCCTGGAACTTGTGATGCTCCTGCTTCAGCCTTGGGCTCACTGGGATTACAGGGATGCACCAGCACAATCAGCTCAAAGGATGTTTTAAATGCTCCCCTTTTCCAATAGATCCTCACACCTCTTCCCAGTGCTAAAGGCTGACAACCCTTTTATTGAAATAGGAAGAGCCAGGCACTTCCTGTGAGAGTTCAGTTCCACTGGGGTTACTACAACTAACAATAATGAGTGTTTGTATTTACTAGGCATTAGGCACTGTTTCAGGCAAATGACTTTCTCTAATCCTCCCAAGAACTCAGCAAGTTAGGAGCCACTACTCTCATTTTACTGATAGTCACTCTCTGCTTAGCATAGTCTAGATTTTGCCTAGAAATTTCACCCCAAAATTAGAATTCTCCTTTTAGAGACCTAAGTTTGTCTGGCCAGGGCTCAGCCCCCACCCCCACCCCAAGGATAGGAATTAGAATCCCAGGTATCACAACAGGGTTTTCCAATTTTAGGCTTAGGCAGGTATTATGAGAAGATTTCTTCCAAGAAAACATATTTTCTGCTAGCTTCTGGGGATCTATAGTGGAGAGGGGAATAAATTCTTGGTAGGGTGGGTGGATGTAGGGTGCGATTTTCCTAAGAAGAGAACAGCCACTTTCATTCAAAGTGCAGTGGAATTCTGGTTGGAAATGGATTTCTTTGCAGTTAGTCTGTGAGGTTCTTTGGATGTTAGTTTCCAAAAATCCAGAACTCACACTTAGGGTCACAAAATCTTGGGCATTTATTTGCCAAACCCCATGGATGTTATCCCCCAGGATCCACCCCCGCCCTTGCCCCCTTCTCCTTTGGAGCAGAACGAAACCCATTCTAGGGCTTTTGCAGGAAGTCTTCAGGCCCTCGCGTCCGGCCCCTTCCAACATCAAAGCCCCCCTAAGAGCAAAGGACTTTGAAAAGATACGAAAAGCTCAGGCTGCTTATCGCGTCCTCGCTCAGCTCACTGCCGTGCGGGTCGTAAATTCCGAGCCTCCGCGGCCGCCCTCTCTCCCCTCGGCTCTTCTAGGCCCAAGGTCTCAAAGGACAAAGCTGTCATTCTTTGTCCCGCCCCCGGTCCCGATCTGGACTGAAGGTAGCTGGCGACAGAGGGGCGCAAGATCTGGGACTTGTTAGAAAGGAGCGATGGGCGCCCCTAGTCCGCCGGGATCACTGCCTGGGGACAGGGCTCCCCTCCCGCAGTCTCCTTCGGGGCGGGGCAGGGGAGGGCGCCGGCCGGGTCCGCGGCTGCGACCCGCCGAGGGCGCAGCTCGCAGCCCTGCGCACTCCACTCGCTGCGCGGCGCGGAGCGGGGGCGGCGACACGTTTCTCGCGTGTGTCTGTGCTTCTCCGCAGGCCAGGAGGGCGCCCTACGCTGCCACCCGGACCTGGCCGGCCTCGAGCTGCCGCGGGGCACGCTCACCGCCGAGTCGCCGCGGGAACCGAGCGGCGCGGGCTTGACGAGCCTGGGCGCGGAAGAGCGGCTGCGGCTGGCAGAGCTCAGCGCCAAGTACGGCGCGCGCTTCGGCTTCCCCTTCGTGCTCGCCGCGCGCCTCAGCGACCGGGCGGCCGGGCCTCGGGAGCTGGCGCGCCGGCTGCGCTGTCCGCCCGCGCAGGAGCTGCGCACCGCCCCGGGCGAGGTGAAGAAGATCGGCCACCTTCGCCTCGCCGACCTTCTCCGCACGGACCCGGCCAGGCTGTAGCCCGACCTCGGGCTGGGAACTCTGGACGCCTGGCAGGACGCGAGGAGGCAGCGACCGGGCGCTGTGAACCCTGCGCGGGAGGCTGACTTGGGCCTGGAGCGTCGTCCATGCACACGCACAAAGGAGTGAAGAAATGAGACGATCACACCAGTAATGAGCCCCTTTGTTCAACCACCCACACGCGCACAGGTTGCCAAAATACATAGTTTAGTACTTTGCCCCCATTTATCCAGCTCATTGCTTCAATTATTCCCTTGCTTTGCCGTCTGAGGACAGCACCAGCCCTGGTGGATTCCAAAGCGCGCATCCAGGGCTTGTTACCCCCCGCCCCCGCCCTCGGTTAAGGCCTAGCAGCAAAGCAAAAGGGATGGAAACGGGGTCTTTTTTCCCACAGCAGTTTGTCTGATGACTTGTTTGTTTGTTTGTTTGTTTTTCTTCTCCCTCTCATTTTCAGCACCTGACATCTACGTGCCAGCGGAAGCAGCTTTCTAGCTCTGAGGCGCCTGCGGAACGAGGAGCTAGCAAAGTGAAGAACTGGCCTAGGTCTGGCGCGCCTGGGAAGCGGGGGGGGGGGGGGCTCGGCGAAGGGCGGGAGTCGGGAAGGCACCCCGCGGTGATGGGCGGAGTAGCTGCAGCTTGGGCTTGGGGAGGGATGGTGTCTCCAAGTTGCACGGGCCAGGTCAGGAGTAGGTGGCTTCTTGTCTCTCAGAAGTTGGCCGTTGGGGGTGGACTGGATTGTTCCTGAAAACGATCAGTTATTTTAAAAATAATAATACTCATTGGGCAGAACTAGGTGTTGTAGACCCGTAGATGAAGGTAGTACCCCCTAGCGCCGATAAAATGGAGGGAAATCTGTGCTGCGGAAATCCTTCCCTTACAGCGCGTCGGCTTTGGGAGCTTGCCACCCTGGACTCCAGAGGTGAGTTGAGCAGCTCTATGCACCAGCGACCGCAGTGACCACTGGGGAAAGAACGTAAGAACGTAAGCATCACGCAGGAGGAACGCAACGCACACTCATATTCATGCTCTCTCTCTTTCTCTTAAAAAATGTAACAAACCCCAACACATACTGCTATTTAGACTTGTCCTGGCAAAGGAGAAACGAACCATCCATGTCCTCCCTAACACAGGCTGAGGAGTGAAGGCAGAGTTGAGCCCTTCAGAGACAAGGACTTCATTAGTGTTCAGCCTGACTGGGGAACAAGTCAGTTTGTTGTAGCCAAACAACAAACAAAAACAAAAACAAACCAAAACCCCAAACTCTCTTTTCCTAAAGAGCTGCCAGTGATGCTCCCGCTTCTGAGGCTGATGGCTCACAGAAATAAATACCTCTTGGAGCAGCAGGGATTTTAGTGGAAGAACCTCCGTCTGCCTCGCCTATTTCACAGGTGCCCCTTGCTAGAAATCAGAGTGCCGGCTGTTGTCAGGAGTGAGAGGGTGGCTGCGGCCGGGGCCTTCCTGGCCTCTGGGTGTAGAAGCACCAGGTGCACTGGGGGAGGCTGGGAGGGAGCTCTTCCACCTAGTTTCTGTAACTCGGCCCCCAGGCAATGGTGCTGAGCCCTAGGCCTGGGGCTAGATGCCCACCAATCAGGGTAACTTGGGGGGTTTCCTGACACACAGGAGCACCTGCTTCTGGTACTCAAAGCACCCTGCTCAGCCATGGGGTGAATCCAATGTATTGATAAATGGGCCCTAAAACGCAGAGTCCAGGTTCTTTAGGTAACGTGAATGTGTTCAACATAAGATTCGAGGAATTCCGGGCAGGATTCCCAACCCCACTGTTAGCCAGAGTTTAAACGTGGTCAGGACCTCTCCCGCACGACCAGGGTGTCTCCAGTTACACAATTACATTTCAATAGTTCAAAGCTTGTCCGGGAAATTGTTTATTCCAGGGGGAAAGGGTAAGGGGTGGGCAATCGCTGAATCTGCAGGACTGCCTGGAGTTAGGGTAATGGGCTCCAGAGTAGGTTGCAAGACTTCTCTTCCGAAGTCGCCTGAGGTCCGACAGCGGAGGGCGCGGGAAGCGGGAGTGGGCGCCTGGCTCGGAAGCGCTGAGGCAAAAGCTCCACCCGGGGAGGAGCGCGGAGGCCGTGGTGGTTTCTCGGGCAGGCGACCTGTGGCTGCCAAGGTTTGGCAAAGCCATTTTCTTCTGCCACATCTTACCCCAAACAGTGACCCGCCAGGGGCTTCTGCGGCCCTTTGCCTGGCGCATACGCTTTCTCGCTTCCGCCCTCTGGTGCGCAGGATGCGGGGTACGAATCCTGGCCGCAGAGAACGACCGAGGCTACCGATTTTGTTCTCCAGCGTGCCCAGCAAAACCCAGAGGGCGCAGCAGTTGTTGGTGCGGCTTCCAGGGTGAACAATTAGTATTTTATTTACTAATTCGTTAAAAAGAAATAAAGCAAAGTGAAAACCACAGTGGCAACGCTACTGAGTTGGAAGGCAAAAAACCTGATTTTGATTTTTTTAACCCGACGTCCGACCATGCATATACACCTTTAAGAGGTAGGGGCGGCTTCGCCAATTTTCAAGTCATTTTGAAATATCCGAGCCAAGCCCGCGAATGCGGTAGCGAAGCGAAGCTCAGACTAGGGATTCCGGAACCCAGTTCAAGCCCTCATTCACCTATGTAACTAGGAAATTAAATGGGGCCTTAAAAAAATGTATCCAGAAAGGTAGACTTTTTGGTCCGTGTGCCCAAAAAGGATCCACAGACACTAATGCAGGGAAAAGGAAGGGAAGAAGGGCAGCACCAATCTACCTTCAACTTTTACTCCTTATAACTGGACACATTTCCCAAGATCAGCCAGAGGATATCGGTTCTGATTCAAAAATGGAGAAGAGCTCTTTGCAGAAAGTGTTTACTGTTAAGACGAAAGTAGGTGGAGAGCTTCTTCATCACTTGGAGAAAAATCTAGGGTGGGATTTATGGAAAATTTACCACTCAATAAAATAATAAACTGCAGTTAATGGGTGTCTGTGAAAGAGAGAAATAAACAGTATTGGGAAAGTGGTCAGAATTGTAACAACTGCAGAACCTGATTGTTTGGATACCGTTTGGTGTAGGGCTGGGGAGTTCCGATTCCTTGAATCATGCTTGTTGGTTCTGTGTTGGGGATGTGTTTCTAGGTGGCACTAACAGCCATAGTAACAATTAACATTTGTACAGACTACTGTGGGCTGGAAAGAATGCACATATAGTAGCTCATTTAATTTCAGGGACTGGAACAGCTAGCTGTGTAACCTGGGGAAAATCATCTAACCTCTCCGGGGCTCAGAGTCTCCTGTGTAAAGCAGACGGATACACAGACTCTAAGGTCCCTGACTCCCCTCAAGGAAAGCAGTTTGTCAATGGGCATAGTGAATCAGGAGAGACGAACATTTGTCTGAGCTCCTTCCCTCACCAGCCACATACAGCTTAGTTACTCCACACGGCTTCCTGGGAACATATTTTCCAATTTTAGTATATGTGCTGCTGAAGGGAGCACTGGGAACATATTTTCATATGACAAACAAAGGTCATTGTGGGCACGAGACAATGGTGAGTGAACAAATGTTAATTGAATGCCTCCACGACAAGCCACGTGGTAACATTTGGCCCACTTGGTTCTTCTACCATCAGTGGGTTTCTTTGGTGATGGAAGCCCCAGCTCCCCATGAGGGTACCAGTCTGTGAGACATCGTTTCCTCTCAAGTCTCTCCTCTCTCTCTCTCTCTCTCTCTCTGGAATTTAAACCATTTTCTGGGCTCATCTGCCACACAGAATTAACAGTTCATTGTACATTGATTAAACAGGGTCCATAGACCCTCATTTCAGAACAAAGAAAATGGGCAACTACTATTTATTGCACGACTTTCACTCAATGGACAAAAACAGATTTCTGTATCCAAATACTACCCCTTCTCCTGAGTCTCTTTATTTTCTTTGATTTCCCTGGCTGTGAGAATATATTTCAGATGAGTGAGCAGAAAAAAACCCTGCATGCTCTGCCCTGGCTCAGGAAGCTTGACGGTAGCCCATCTGGGGAAGATGGGCCCAGTGGGATTCCTTCTCCAGGCTCCTCCTTCCCAGTTCTGTGTGGTAAAACTCTAGCCCATAATGGCTTCCCATGGATTCTGGAAATTTGCTTAGGTAGAAAGGAGCAGACACTCAGCTTGCTAGGGAGGAAAAAACTTCACTCTACTAGATGAGGCCACATCTGCTCCTGTGAATGCAGCCCGGGCAGCGGGCAGCTGTGGGCAGCTGTGGCCCCTCCTTGCTGCTTAGGATGAACATGTTGGTCTCTATTGTGGCCCTGATGGGACTGGACAGGTGGCGGACTCTGGGGAGGCCCTACAGAAAGGACACTCTTATTGATTTCCTTCCCAGAGATGTTAGCCGAGTGGGCTGTGTCAGGGCAGGGTGGGATTGTTGAGGTCAGATCATCCATTATTGAGTCTTTCTTTGTGTGAGTCGATTGCTGATGGAGTACAATGGCTGAAAGACTCCCTAAACTCTGAATTGAGTAGAGATTGAACAGTTTTTCCACAACACTATAGACTGCCATGTTGAATAATTTCACCAGGAAACATTTTTTTTCCTTCTCACTCTTTCTTAATTGTCCTTTGTCCTGGGAATTCAGGTCCAGGATGGCAAGGATTGCCAGCACAGGGAGAAGAGGGGTTGTGGATGGGCTGGGTCGGCTGGATAATTTTCTTGATATAAAAGGGATTCACAAAGTAGACTTGCATGCTAAGGTGGGTGGAGGTGGCCTGCCCTACCTGGGTCACATGGATCACTGGGCTCTTCAGTTCCCAGGAATCAAAAATATCAGGCAGATCGGGGGTCCCCCCTAGCTGGAGCAAACACTGGGGACCTTTGAGCAGGGAGGGAGCTGAGTCAATGATCTGTGGATTTAAGGAGTGTCTCATCTGCCTGGCGGGGAAAGCCCAGCCCTTCCGGCAGCCTCCTGCTCCCCACCCCCCCTCTGGAGCCCTGGCCCAGGCCACCAGCCGAGATCCTGCAGGCTGAGACCCTCTCTGAAGAATGCGGAATGGCCTCTACACTGTCAGTAACAAAGAGACGCCCCTTTGATAACATGGTCGGGGTTGCCCTGGCCTCTTCCGTTGCTTTATTTACCTGGATCTTTTTCTTCCCACCCTCTCCTGCCCTTAAAAGTCAGCTCTGGCTCTGTGTGGCTGCAGTTTCAGCCCCAGCCCAATTCCAGCCCCAAGCTTCCCAAACAAGTTTGCTTCCTTTAGAGCAATTTACTGCAGGCTTCTCTGGCCCCAAAGTTGGTGGCTGGGGAATACAGGATGGAAGGAGCCTCCAGCAGCAGGAGTCAGGAGTGCCCATACCAGGCATTTCTTGGGTCAGGTCAAAAGTCTCTCAGAAGCTGCCAAGCACCTTGGGTGCAGGACTAAGAAAGCCATGTGTGGCGTGATACAGGTGGCTCTGTATTCGGCCACGGCCACAGACTTGCACTCAAAAGCTGAAGTAACAGCTTAGCCCAGAGCAGGTCTCCAGAGGACAAGCAAGGGCCATTGAACTACCAACTGTTAGGGCTGTCTAGATAAAAAGACCTGGAGGCTCTGCCCTTTTGTCATGTTCAACAAAACTCTGAACTATTCCTATGAACCTGCCCCTTTGGGAGACCCAGCTGGACCCTCTCTTGGCTGAGAGGGGACCCATTATTCTAGGAGGGACACTCGCTCTGAGGAGTTTGTCCAGAATGTAATTTACAAGCTCCTTTTCCCTCACCAAAGCCCTCCACCCCCCACCTCAGGACAGTAGGCAGGGTCCTGCTACTACCAGGGAAGCCCACTTTTGCAGTGAAGGAAACCAGTTGGTTTTTATGATTGGTTTCTTTCTTGAGTTCGAGCACCCAAGTGAGTCTCAGGCTCCCTATGGCTCAGCCAGCCCTGGGTCCAAAACAGTTGGGTGCACAAGCTGCAGGCCCTTCACCAGGGCCAGCACAGAGACACAGCTGGAAGACAGGGACAATTAGCCAGGGCTGGCAATGGGACCATAAAAATCTCAGGAAGTGGCCACTACTGGGCTGAGGGAATGGTTGTCCCTAATAAAGTGATTGTTCCAAAGAATGCCAGCATTCCGAAGACACAGGCTTGAGCCTTAGCTTGGGCTTCCAGAGTTCCTGCCTGGGAGGGGGGTTGTGAGGGACTGAAAGGGGGATTGTGTCTCCAGGAAGAGGAGGGAGACACTTGCTAGATCAAAAGTCTGCAGTGCCCACCATTTAACCTCCCACATTCCTGCCCATCAGGACTGCAAATGCCCCCTTTCTGCCCTTCCTTCAGTGATTTGTGTTAAGTAACAGGGTTTGCGGTTTATTTCCAGGTTTGTTCCTTGGGAAGTAAGGTGGCACTCAGCTGTCCCTGCCAAACCCCTGAGGGGATCTTTAGGAGGACCAGCTGGGGTCGCTTGCCTTTTGGGAGTGCAGCCACTGATACCTCCAGTTTTAACCTTCCTCCTCATAAAACACAAAGAGCAAGAGAGATCCCATGGCCTTCTGCAACCATAGTTATGGGAGTGCTTTGATCTGTTTACACTAGGCAAGTTAGTGGTTGTCACCTAGAAATTAGGAGGTAACTACAGTAGCTTAGTCCCAACCCTGGGAGATTTTGGACCTAGGGAGATAAAGGACACTGAAAAGTGCTCCAGAAATGACAAGATGAAGAGAACAATGACACATGTCATGAGGAATACTTGACAAGGAGAACTGACATGTTCACTTCTCCAGGAAGGAGAGTGGCCAGCACCCTCGGCTTCCAAGCTCAATCAGGATCTTGGAGTCAAGCTGCCCAGCTCTCAGGAGTCTGGCAGCTCTGAATGGTTCTTGGAAAGGAGTCACACGATGACCACTTGCGCCTCCCCACTGCTGGTGAAATGGAGATGACCACTCCACAGTGGAAGCCTAATCTAGCTCTGTGCTCCTGTCTGGGTTGTTCCCGATCCTAGCTGCTCAGCTCCAGGCTAATAGTGGCCCCTCCCAGCCGTGAGCCCCTTGGCCACATAACTCCAAAATTCAAGAGATCCTTTCTTAGCCTTTGCCTGCTCAAAGTTGTTCATTAGCAATAATTAATAATGGCCCATGTTCCCTTCTCGTTCCCTGGAGATGGAAAAGAAATTTCGTTGGAGAATGTTTTACTTTGCAAAAAGGATAGCATTTTTAAGACGTAACAATGATGTATAAGACATGAATACCCAGGTATTAGCAGAAATTCTACGCTTATTTTCCTTGATATAACTGCCCATTTGAGTAGAACAAACCGACAAGCATAATTGGCTGAATCTTCCAGGCAAACATACAGTGCAGCCAGCACTTTGCTCAAGAGATAAAAAGTTGCCAACACTGCGGCCATTCCCTATGGCTCAGGTAACCACTAGCCAGACTTCTACCACAGGCCCATTGGTTTTTAGTTGACATTTGGTTCTTGAACGAATACTTTAAAAACGAATTGCTTTAATTTAACTCAAATCCCAAACGTAAGATGAATTCGCAGATGCAGCCTGAAGCTTGAGTCAATTTATCTTCTGCAGAAGGCGAATGATTTCCTTGGACAAGAAAATAAATGAGCGGTGACAGTTGTTTGGGGTGCTACAGACCAGCAGCACGGAGCGGGGGAGAATCAGTCCTTCTCTACAGCTCTGCCCCTCACCTCCGTAGTTGGTCAGAAACGTTCTCATCAAAGCAATGGCTTCCTTTTTCTTTTCTCTTTGGGGACAGGAGTTTCCTGACCGCCCCCTTCCCAGTGAAGGTATAAACAAGACTGCTCCTGTCTCTAACCCCAGATTCCCACCAAGATAGCTCTTTCTCTCCCCTGGCTTTTGCTAGTCTCTAGATTTCACTCTTTGAACCTGTGATTGGAGGTTAAAGTGCACCAGGTTGGAAGGAGGAAGCTCCTAACAATAAAGGTTTGAATATTTAGCTGTGATCAGGTCGCTGCCCTCTCCCGAGGTCCCCCCACCTTATCTTTTAAAATGCAAATCGTGTTTGGGGGGGCCTAGCGCAGAGTGCGCGCTTCGCCTCCACGTCTCCAGCCATTGGTGTCTGTGTCATTACTAATAGAGTCTTGTAAACACTCGTTAATCACCTAAGGCAGCCGGCCTGGGGATCCGCACGCCAGCCTGTGGCAGGTCTTCCCCGCCTCTTTAGGCTAGTGGGAAGGAGGTGGGAGGAAAGAAGGAAGAAAGAGAGGGAGGAGGGAGGAGGCTGGCCAGAGGCAGGCACCGCCTCGGAGGCAGAAGCGCCGCGAGGAGCCAGCGGAACACTGTGGGCTGGGGCGCAGCCACCCGCCGCTCCTCGCACCCCCGCCCCCCGTCTCCTCTTCCCCTTCGCGTCCTCGCCCCCAGCCAGCCTCCAGCGTTTGTCCCCAGGCAGCATGGTGAGGTCTGCTCGCGGTCCCTCGCCACCATGTACGTGAGCTACCTCCTGGACAAGGACGTGAGCATGTACCCCAGCTCCGTGCGCCACTCTGGCAGCCTCAACCTGGCGCCGCAGAACTTCGTCAGCCCCCCGCAGTACCCGGACTACGGCGGTTACCACGTGGCGGCCGCAGCAGCCGCGGCCGCGAACTTGGACAGCGCGCAGTCCCCGGGGCCGTCCTGGCCGCCCGCGTACGGCGCCCCGCTCCGGGAGGACTGGAACGGCTACGCGCCTGGGGGAGCAGCGGCCGCAGCCAACGCGGTGGCCCATGGCCTCAACGGGGGCTCCCCGGCAGCCGCCATGGGCTACAGCAGCCCCGCCGATTACCACCCACACCACCACCCGCACCACCACCCACACCACCCGGCCGCCGCGCCTTCCTGCGCTTCGGGGTTGCTGCAGACGCTCAACCCTGGCCCTCCCGGGCCCGCCGCCACGGCCGCCGCCGAACAGCTGTCCCCCAGCGGCCAGAGGCGGAATCTGTGCGAGTGGATGCGGAAGCCCGCACAGCCATCCCTTGGAAGCCAAGGTAAGCGGCGGCGGCGCCCTGCGGGAGGCCTCCGGGAAGGCGCGGGCCGGGACGCCTGCTGGACGGGCCGTGAGTCCGGGCGCACCGGGCTTCGCAGCTGTCCAGGAGCTCAGCGCCAGTGGGGCGGGGTGAGCAGACGAGCTCAGGGGGCTCAGGTCCCTTCGCGCTTCACTGGTTGCTGCCCCCAGGAATGGATATTTTGGGTCTCTGGCGCAGAATAGGGCACAGAAAAGGCTTCCTCTTCCCATCAGTTCTCACACCCTCGAGCCACCTTGGGGAAGCTCTCGGAAGGTCGGCGTGCGCTCGGCTTGCTTGGCTGTCCGCGAGCGCAGTCGCGTCCTCCCCTCTGGCTGCTGCCTGAGCTCCTGGTCTCGAGAGGGAGCCTCGGACTCTCCCGGGCTGCATCTGCACTCTTTTCCCCGGCGCCCTCCTTGGTCTGAGACACCCTAAAAGAGAGGCGGACTGGGGAGTTAGGCGGGTGGCGAGCCTGCGCGTGGGGCCAGGTTTGGCGTTCTGGACAATTCAAGGGGTTGGACGTACAGAGAACAGAGAGATCGGGGACGCGGCTGTCGCCGCAAAGAAGGTGCTGGCCACCAGAGTTAAGAAGAGGGCGCGCCCACGTTCCTGAACCTTTGCTCTGCAGAGGGGCTATTCCAAGTAAAAGCTGGAAGGCTAGGGCCAAAGAAGCCGTGGGGAATCCTCTCCTGTCTGCCCAGAGAGTAAGGAGAGGGCCAGGAACCCTGATTTGGATTCAGGCGATGTTCCAGACAGGGGTAATTTGTCCTGAACCTTACTTCCTGTGAAGGATCCGTGTGTCTGTGTCTGTGTGTGTGTGTGCGTGTGTGTGTGTGTGTGTGTGTGTGTGTGTGTTTTCAAGACTGGAGATGTCCTCTCAAAGACCCTAACTTTGCCAGACTATGGGACTCTGGCTCTGGGCCTGCCCCTTCTGGTGCTGGGATGTGTAGTCAGGTGGGAAGGAAGTGAGAATAGGAATGGTGGGAGAGTCCTATTGGAGTCTCCTTTTTGTTCCAGAGAAGTCTTGTCCCGGCCCTCCGTGCTTCCACCATCCTCACTTAGCTTTTTGCTGGCCCAGCTGGGCCCCTTGCAGGTTATGGGCCTTTTGCAGAGGTTTATAGCCAATTACAACCGTATAAATCAGAGCACCCGTTGGGGGCTGTCTCTGGATACCGGCTTCTGCGTCACTGCGCACATTCCAGGTGTGCCCTGGTGGGAAATGCCTCCTGGGGAGAAGGTCACAGATCACCCTTGGGTGAGCCTCAGCCTGACGGTTTTCCCCAAGGGTAGGCACCCTTGTCCTAGCAGGCTGCGCCCCCAGACTCGAGCTCCCCCAAACCATCCTCCACAGCTTGCCTGGAGCGTGGTGGTTTGGCTGGGGTCGCCGGACGCCTAAGGAAGACTTTTCACGGAGAGCGGGAGTGGCTTGGGGTGGTGTGTGTGTGTGTGTGTGTGTGTGTGTGTGTGTGTATGTGTGTGTGTGTGTAGCCACTAGAGCCAGGCCTTGGGGTCAGCAGATGAGAGGCCGCTGTGAAGTCCCGCGCGGAGGTGGCAAGGCCACAGTAGGCGCCGGCGCCATTGTGATGTTAATGTGGGAGGCCGCGGCCCGGGCCGGAGCCGGCTCCTCTGCAGAGCTTCATCTGTCAAGGGGGCGGGGGGGGGGTACCAGGCCCGGCCTGCTTTGATATACACCTTCCTAACCCTGCCATTGTCTCCTTTAGGGCCCGGAAAGAGGGTGGTGACTTTCGCAGTCAATAATGAATTCTGACAAGTCCCTCTCATCCTTTCCCTCTTTCAGCCCCGCTCCTTGGTTCCCAGGGGGTGCGGGGTTCCCACAAGGCCCATGGGGCGCGGGTCGCAGAGCGCAACTGGTCCTGGTCACCGAGTTCCGGGGCCTGCCGGGAACACTGAAAGGGCAGAACCAGAGCAAAGGCCGCGGCGAGGGCCCCCCAAGGCGAGGTGTTCGGCTGGGGACCTGCCTTGTGCCTCGCTCCCAGGCCTGGACTGTCCCTTAGGAGCCCTGAGAGCCTCCGGTGCTAACCCTGACTTGTCCTGTCTGTGCCACCCAGTCTAAGGGCTTCCTCCTCTCTGCGCACCGCGCACAGGAAAGGACTGGGGCAGCCCGAGCTGGAGCTGCGAGCAGGCGGGAGCAGCGCCGGTGAACGGTCCACCTCGTACAAGGCTCTCGGGGCTTCTAGGGTCCCTTTACTTTCCGAGCCGGCGCGGGGTCGGGGCCACAGCTCCCATTCAAATGCGCCTGCCGGGCGGTGTTTATGTTAACACGCCTGGCGGGAGAGGGATGAAAGCCCGGCCGCCATTTGCTCAGTAGTGGTAATTCAAACAGAATTCAGTTGTTATTAAGGCATTGAAAGGGCTTTTCTTTGATAAGATCGCCTTGTCCTGCATTGTTTGCGGCTGTGTTCCCCTTTCAGCGGCTAGGGGAGCTCCCTCTGATCCTGCCTGTATCTTCCCAGGGCGCTTTTGTTGTGGTTTGCAAAGGGTTTTACCTGAACAAAGTCAGCCTGTGGGGCATTAAACACCTCCAGGCAACTCCCAGACCCTTTAGATCTTCCTGGAGGAGTGGGCACTGGGTGATTGAAGCTGTTCAGCTGGGAGACCACCCGGACCTGGGTTTGAGTTCAGAGAAAGCTCCTGTGAGTACTCTGCCAAGGGCTGGCCCAAGACTGACCCGGCAGCCTCCAGGCTCCAGCCTGCTCCAACAGCAGCGACACTGTTTGTCAGGCCCTTCAGTAAAACAATCAATCCAAGACTTAATATGTTGACTCAATCCAGCGATCGTAGATCACTGGTCAGGATAGCTGGCAGGGTTTGCAGTGGGAATAAATGGGGGATTAAAAAGAAAGAGTGCCCCAGGCCAACCTGGTTGGCCAGGTACAAAGTGTCACAGCGAGAGAGATTTTCCCCTGCCGGCAGAAGTTATCTAAGAGCAAGCTCAGGTTCTACAGGATGAGCCAAAAGTGTCTGGAGGGTTGATTCTGGTTGCTCAGAGTAAGGCCCACCTCAGCCCACAACACACAGCCCTCAGCTGTTTTCAGGTGGACTGCTGTCTCTGGTGGGCCTGACAATCTGCCCATTGCACCTGGCTTCCCTTCCATTTGATGCTAAATATATTCCAGTACCGTGTTATGTTTGGGTTACCAAAAGGGCAGCCTGGATTCTGCTGTGTTCTATGTATGAGGTTTTAGTTTTAATTTTAAAAAACAACTTAACCCAAGGTTACTGTAGTTGCTCCCACTACTTCCCACTCCCAGGATTGGGGGTGGGATTGTCAGACTTGGCAGGAGCCAGCCAAACCCTGGCCCCCCAGGGTGCTGGAGGAAGAGAAATGGATCCCGGGTTAGGGAGGTTTGTCATTACCTATGACTGATGGGCCGCCTTGTGGCTCTCAGCCCTAACTTTTCCTTCCTCCACAGTGAAAACCAGAACGAAAGACAAATACCGAGTCGTGTACACTGACCACCAGCGGCTGGAGCTGGAGAAGGAGTTTCACTATAGTCGTTACATCACCATCCGGAGGAAGGCTGAGCTGGCTGCCACGCTGGGGCTCTCAGAGAGGCAGGTGGGGACTGTCTGCTCCTCCAAGGCCTGGTTACTGGCTAGGGGTGGTCAGGAAGGGAGATTTAGGAAGCCTGGCCAAGGGTCCACCTGTACTGTGGGCAGATACAAGGAGACAAGAGCATTTCTCTTTTGAGGACTTTGTGTAAAGGTTTCCTTCTACCAATGGTTATCTCTGTTACTGACATTTTTTCTACACTGAGGGATCTGGGAGGTACAAGAAAAATCTGAGTGTTACTTTAATACAGAATTCCATTTGGGTCAATAGAGACCTACACTTAATTTACTGAGTTCCTAGGATTAGGAAAACTAAAAATAAAAGGCATGGTCTCTGTTCAGAAAAACAGAAAGCGTGGCCAGGCATCATTGTACATGACTGCAATCCCAGCAGCTTTGGAGGCTGAGGCAGGAGGATCACAATTTCAAGGCTAGCCAGGACAACTTAGCCAGACTTTGTCTCAAAATAAAATTTAAAGAGTGTGGGAGATGTAGCTCAGTGGTAGAGCGCTTGAATAGCATGTGTGAGGCCCTGGCCAGGAAGCTGCACATTCAATTTCATTTCCAGCTTCAAGGTGAGGAATACTACATTTCAGTTTAGTTGTGAGGGGCCAAAGGTTGCTAAGTGAAGTTCTCCCAGCACTGGCCTCCTCGTGCTTGTGCAGGAGGAACTTTCGGCAAGTCTCTATTTTCTTTGGTTCTGAGACTGTACTTTCCCAGTAGTTTCCCTTGAAAGAAACCTGGGGAGCAAGGAAGGAGGAACACTCAGCTCAGGAGGCTGAGATGAATGTGGGAAGAGCTCCCACCCGGGGCTGTTTCTGAATATCCAGTAAAAGCTTCTGCAAGGTTTCAGGTCCCTTTGTTGCTGTGGAAGGAAGATATTGGTGATAATGCTGAATGGTATTCTGCTTTTCCTTCACATCTTCTTCACAACTTCCTGTTTTGTTCCACTTTTCCATTTTTAGGTTAAAATTTGGTTTCAGAACCGAAGAGCAAAGGAAAGGAAAATCAACAAGAAGAAATTGCAGCAACAGCAGCAACAGCAACAGCCCCCACCGCCTCCACCACAGCCTCCCCAGCAGCAGCCAGGACCTCTGAGAAGTGTCCCCGAGCCCTTGAGTCCTGTGTCTTCCCTGCAAGGCTCAGTGCCTGGCTCTGTCCCTGGGGTTCTGGGGCCGACCGGGGGCGTGTTAAACCCCACTGTCACCCAGTGACCCGCAGTGGTGTGCAGCAGTGGCAGAGCAATTCCAGGCCAGGCCATGAGGAGTGGAGCATGGATTCTGCTAGGATCTTCAGAAGAGACCCCTCCCTCCTGCCCACAAGTACCTAGCTCTCCGTGGAAAATGGGGGCCAGGAGTGAGGACAAGTGGGATCTGGGGCCTCATGCAAGATGTCCAGGATTTTTTTTTTTTTTTTTACATTTTCCCAGTCTGACTCTGTGCCAGTGTGCATGCAGGAAGTGCCCTTTGGGGCCTCATTTGCTACTGGCAGAAGCATTGACTGAACTGGCTTCAGTGACCAGGCATCCAGTCCCCTAAGCCCCAGCTCCTCACCTCCAAAATGTGTGGGCTGCACTGCATCTCCAGTTGGAACTAGGGGGACAGAGAGAGACTCAGGGCAAGAGCAATGTTTAGGGCCAACATGGCTACTTCCTACTCACTGCTTTCCAAGGACCAGCTGGCCCTCCTGCCTTAGGGACAGACCTGATTTAAACTGCAGAAGCCGGTGGTAGCAAAGATAGAAAGCTGCATCGACAAAGACTGCAGAACACTGGATGGCCTGTGTCTTTCTTCTCCCTTTTCAGACCAAGAAAGAACTAACGTGTGTGTGTGTGTGTGTGTGTGCAGTGTGTGGAGGGGGCGAGGGTGGTTTAGTGGACTCCAGGCCTAACAAGGGAGAAAGCCTGTCACCAGAGCTTGTTTAGAAAGCCTGTCACCAGAGCTTCACTGGGCTAAATGTATGTCAGTGCTATAAATGCCAGAGCCAACCTGAACTTCCTGTCATTTTCACAATCTTAAGGCTGTTGAAGAAGGGGAGTTTCTGTTGTCCTTGCTGCTGTTTGGGCCATTGATCTGTGTCACATCCAAGCCAGCCTTATAAAAGCCTTCTGGATCCCTGGGAGAGAAGTGATATGGTGAAGGGAAGTGGGGGTATCTGAACACAGTTGAATGTTTTTTCTAAAAAGAAAAAAAGATAAACGAACTTTCCAGCTTTTTGATTCTGTCATTTATCTTCTTCAGATTTTGAGAGGGATTATTTTTTTCTTAAAAATGGAATAACTTCTCTGCTTGCAAGCTGGAAATAGAAAAAAAAAAAAAGTAGGGAGAGGGTGGAAAAGATTATCAGGGCAGCCTCACTTTACCCTAGAGCAGCAGAAGCCCAAGGCAGCAGGTTCCGAGACCTTCCCTGCCCCCAAGCCTGAGTCCAGCCTCGCCTTGTGGAATGTGTGGTTCTCCTGGGGTGCCTTTAGGCCAAATGCACATCTGAATGGTCAGCTGCTTCCCAGCTGCTGTGGAATTACGGGGGGTGGGGTGGGGTGGGGTGGAATTGTGGGTGTGTGGGGGGGCTCCTCACAACCCCTCGTCAAACTCACAGGAAAGCATTGCAGTGGACAAGCAGTGGCCTCCTGCCTTCCTGTGGATGTTAAACATAAGCATTAAGTAAAAACATTTTTTCCTTTTTCCCCAAGACATTTCCACGAATTTGTCCTCCTTGTCCCTGAGCACGTCCCTGAACCCTTTCTACCTACTGGCCTTTCCTGGTCCGGCGAGGTCCTCACTTTATCCTACCCTTCCACAGACAAGAATTCAAGAATCAGTAGAAGACTCTCGAAGGGGTGGCTGCCCACCCCCGCTTCGGTGCTAGGGATGCCTCCTGCGTACTAGGCAAGCGCTCTGCCACTGACGCACCCCCCCACTCCAGGCTGGGGTTTATTTGTCTGATTCGCTGAAGACTCGGCTGCCGCCCTTGAGAATTTGGGGTCCTGGAGGCCAAGGGGCTGGGAGCTCTGGGAAGGTCTAAGGAAGAGGAGCTTTGGCTTCATCCGCCGTCACAAGCGCCTTGGATTCTAGTCTGTGCTTCCAAGGAAGGAAGGGCTGGAGGGCTGCGGGGAAGGCGAGGCCGAGCCCAGCTGGGAGGTGGCGGGAGGCGTAAGTGCAGCACCTCTCCAGTTCCGCGGCCCTTCCGGGTGGCGCATTCCACTCCGGGTTTGAGCGAGGGCGCTGGTGGCTGTGCCGGGAGCACCTGGCTTCGGAACCGGAGGGGAGGGAAAAAGGCTCCCCACGAGGAAGAAGCCGTGCGGGCGTCCGCTGGGCGGGGCCTGGGTTCAGGGCCAGGGGATTGCCGAAGAGAGCGCGCCCCGAGCCTTGGCCGCGCCCACCGCCAGCCCCTCTCCGCCGCCGCGGTTGCTATGCGTTGCCGCGAAACGCTTGTCAATAAACCCTGTTTGGACAGTGGAGCAAGAGCGCAAGGGTTGTTTGCTTAGTGGTTAGAGGTTCAAAAGTCGGCATTGTCCCGCTGCAAGCGATTACAAGTTCTTCCCCTTCCCAGGGCTCGGCCTCCTTGAGCGCAAGATGGGGATGAGGGAGGCAGGCAGGGGCGCTCGCTCCGCTGCTTTCTAATTGCAGGGAACCGGCTGGCTGCCGCGAGCGCCAGCCAAGTGTCCCAGCACGAGGAAAAGGCGCAGAAACCAGGCCCTGCCCGGGAAGAAAGCTACCGCGTCTCCAGCGCCGAGAATCTGCCACCTGCGGAGCTCCAAGAGAACACGCGAGTGTGCAACGCGGCCTCAGTTCAGAAAAACTCGGGCGGGACACCCCGAATCCCACAGCCTTCGAGGCGCGCGGTTCTCCTCTTAGGCCGCCAGGGGGCGCGCGCGCTCCGGAATAACTAGGTTTGGCCCGGCACTCAAGAGACTCATCATGGAGCTGACCCGGAAAGGGCCCCGAGTCCTACCCACCCCTAGAAACAGACACCCGCACCTCTCCACATCCTGGCTGCTCCCAAACTGAGCTACCGGAGAGCGTCCCACGATGGCCGTGGTCCCGTGAAACGAAGGGGCTGAGGATGTAGCTCACGGACAGAGTGTGCACTTAGCATGCGTGAGGGACTGGGTTTGAGCCATAGAAGCACAAAACAAAAAGCACCCAAACACTAAATTCCAACTGAATCAGGCCTGGGAGAATCTTGGGCCTGTTGACTGTTTGAGAAAACAAATTTTAAGAAGGAACCTCTCCACCATTCTAAAAGAACAGGTTTGCCCAAGATATTTCTTCTGTTAAAACGTACAGTGATATGGCCACAGTATTAACATATGGTAAGATCGAGATTTTAAGATAAATATGGAATAAAATATACTAGTATTAGCTGGCCGCCTCGGCACAGGTCTGTAATCTCAGGACTTTGGAAGGCTGGGGGAGGAGGGTTGCAAGTTCAGGGTCAGTTGGGGCAACTTAGTGAGATACTATCTCAAAATTAAAGGAAAACAAAAGTTTTATAATAATAAAAAAGAAAGAAAAAAATAAAAAGGGCTCGAGATGTGGCTCAGTGCAAAGGCTCCAGCACCCACACACACAGACACAAACACAGTACCAGTGGGACTCATGCCAAAAAGATACATATAGAAAATGGGCCGAGGATTTAGCTCAGTGGTTCCGCTGCCTGCCCCTGAAAGCACAAGGACCCGTGTTCAATTCCGGTACCCCCCCCCCAAAGATAGATAGGTATGGACAAAACACAGGTTGAGTTTTCCCTGTAACCAGTCCATGGCTTTATCATATTCATTCTGCAAAGTTAACAAAATGAAAGCAATGAAAGTTTCACTTCTTTCTAGTAAGATGCCTACATTGGTAAAAATGAATCCTAAATACCAATTAAAACATATGAACAGCAATGCTCTTGCTGTTCTTGTTTAGGAAAAAATAAGAGAAGAGGATTTAGCTCAGTGGTGCCACAGCCTGCCTCGCCAGCATAAGGTCATGAGTTCGATCCCCAATACCAAAAAAAGAAGGGAAAAAATGCAAATGAAGGAAATCTCAGCTACAGAATGGCATGAAAAGGATGTAAGTTTTTAAGACCAGTGTTGGAGCCTAGGTTCAGAAATAGGCTGCAATTTTCCAGCCTAGTGACCTTGAGAAGATAACCTCTGAGCTACCTCTGCATCTGTGAAATGGGGATCATGAGGCGATGTAAGTGACAGCATATTTATAGCACATACTAGGATTAGACCCTAATAACGATGTTCACTGCTCCTTTTTACTTTTTATCATGAACCATCTTCTGCAAAGTGCTCCAGGGTCCTTACAAAGAACTTGGAACAGGATAATTTCTTAAATCTTGATAGAATAACCCTTTCCCAGAATTGTTTTCTAATGCATTTAGCTTTGCTTGCATTATCAAAACAGCCTCAAGTCTGTGGTCTACTGATTTCTAGTGCCTAGATGTCTGTATGCAATCTTGAGTGGCAAAGCACTAACATTCCAGATGTGAAGACAAGTTACTGATCTGCATAGCTTCGTTGTCCTTTCATCTACCAGAAGAAATGTCCCCAAACACATCTGGTTTCTAGGAGAATCAAGATTAGTTGAGGGTGTTGCTGGGGACTTCAGTTGATCAGTACATTTTTTTGTTAGCCCCCCAAAGGGCACAGAGACAGATATTCTGACTAGATATTAAAATTAGCACTAAAATTTTCTTTATTTTGAAACAATTTGCCTCTCAACATTGATTCTGTGCTCTTCCAGGAGCTGTCCCATGGGCCTGGTGGGGTTTTACTTCTCTTTGTATGATTTACTCCCAGAAGTCATTTTAAGGCAAGTATTTTACTCTTCACAATTTTCCCTTCATAGAAACTACAGCTGCAGTTCTTGTGTTAAATTAGTTTTGCTTTGGTGGATAAGAAAAGTACATTCATGCATGAATTATGTAGATAAAATTATTAGTATTTAAAACATTTAAATTATCTTACATCACAGACCATATAAACTGCCTATCCCTATGTAATTCTTATATTCATTTTTTCTTCTTGCTTTTTTCTCCTGTCCTTTTTCATACATGTCCTCTATGATTTTAGGAAACCAAGCAGTTTTTTTTTTTTTGAAACCAAGCAGGTTTTAGTGATAACTGGGGGATTAACTAGCTGAATGAAATCACTTGAATATATATATGTATTTCCAGAAAGTTATAAAATTAGATCTAGGAGGAAAAAAATAAAAACCTCTCAAATTCTAAATAGAATATCAATATGTTAGTTACAGAGATTATACCAACTTTTTCTCTTTCTTTAGCATGCATATGTCACTAGGAATTGAACCAGGGCCTCCTTGGCCCTATTTTATCAGCATTGACATTGGCTTCTTTAT